CACACTACACTGAACCACACTACACACTACACTGAACCACACTACACGCTACACCGAACCACACTACACACTACACTGAACCACACTACACGCTACACTGAGTCACACTACACCAAACCACGCTACACACTACACTGAACTACACTACACACTACACTGAACCACACTACACGCTACACCGAACCACACTACACACTACACTGAACCACACTACACACTACACTGAACCACACTACACACTACACTGAACCACTACCCACTACACCAAGCTACACTACACAGAACCATGCTACACGCTATAGCAAGCCACGCTACACACTACAGTGAACCACACTACACGCTACACCAAACCACACTACACACTACACTGAACCACACTACCTGCTACACCAAGCACGCTACACAGAACCACGCTACACACTATAGAAAGCCACGCTACACACTACACTGAACCACACTACACGCTACACTGAACCACACTTCATGCTATAGTGACCCACGTTACATGATACCCCAAGCCACGTGAGGTCGTGGCTTCCTGAGTCCGTGGCTGGTGCGGTGTCGAGATTGGGTGTCCGAAGTGTCTGAAGCTGCCCCGGGGGACAGGGTGAAAGGGGCTGCCCAGCATTCGGGCCCCCTACCCGAATGACCTGCAGCTGAACACAGGCACAGCAGTCACGCCTCAAAGCCAGGGAGAGAAGAGGAACATTCCGGACTGAAGGAGTGGCCGAGATGGCGGCACGCTCTGGCCGTGGCCCTGGCGTGAGCACGTGCTGTCGGGTGGGGCGGGGACAAGTTCCTTGGGGCTTTGCCCAACTCTTCTGTACGTCTTCAGCGGATCCTCCACGAAACACTTAAGCGAACAGATGCTCAGAGAGCGTATCTGTATGACGTGGTTTCCAACACAAAAACATGAAGATTTTATCATTCCAGCACAAAATCAAAATCTTACTAACACAGCATGTGAAGTGGAAGAGACAGTGAGAGCTGCGTAGCTCTGGTCAGTGCAGCAGACGTCAAAAGGGCCACGTCACTCCTGATTTTAAAGTGCAAATCATGTCTTTGAGAACTCAGAGGTCACATTACTGAAGCTGAACACAGGGCTGGCATGTGTCCTCACCGTGCGCAGGGCAGACGCAGATGGGCAGCCCCTGGCTGGGCAGGAAGCACACACAGCCCGCCACCCCCACGCCGGGGCCCGGCAGGGAACGCGCCACCCCCACGCCGGGGCCCCGCAGGGAACCCGCCACCCCCACGCCGGGGCCCGGCAGGGAACGCGCCACCCCCACGCCGGGCCCCGCAGGGAACCCGCCACCCCCACGCCGGGGCTCGGCAGGGAACCCGGACAGTCTGGCTGTCCTAAGAGACGCCAAAGCCCAGCAGGCCAGGCACCCGGGAAGGACGCAGTTGAGAGACCACACGCAAGGAGGCCGCGCTTTCCCTGAGCATCAGGACGGCAGGTCTCATGCCTCCTTCACCCTCGAATATGTCTGCCAACGGGCCCACCATGGCCTGAGACTCTGTCATTTAAAAACGAGCTCTGAAATATTTCGGACACTCCAGCAAGCATAGGAGGGCTGGGGGGAAGCAGGGCGCCCAGTACTCCTGAGTCTCCTGAAATGGACTCAGAGGTGTGGTTCTTTCCCAGAAACGGTGACCATGAACACGCCTGGGAAAAGCCAGCGGAGCCCCCAGTGTTCAAACACAGGCCCCTGAAGGGGCAGAAGAGCGGGCTGTTGGCCAGGCCATGCGGACGGGAGGACAGAGGGCGGCGGGGGAGGAGGGAAACAGGCTCACCTCTCCGAGAAGCCGCAAAGGTTAAGGAGCCACCGTTATTCCCCAAACACCACCCAGAAGAGCTCCACTTACTGCTCCGAACATGATCCTGAAGATCAGCCACCGGAAGCCCCACAGGACAATCCGGGATGTGGGGGTGTGCTGGGGCAGCCTCGACAGCGTCCACAGCGGGCACAGGAAGATCCCCAGGAACCCTGTTTCCAGAAGCTGGGACTCCCATCCTAAAACGACAATGAGACATACCAAGGGTGAGTTAATGGAAGCCACACATTTCACAAAGAAATCATTTCAGAAACTCAGTTTAATGGAAACGGTCCTTAAAACAGGGCTGACCTTACTACGGAGAGGCACCAACCCCCACGTATTAGTCTCAGCACCGACATGCAAGGTCAGGTCTGCAGGAGTGGGAGCTCTGGTGTGGGACCCGGGGCCCAGGTCAGGGCTTCCCGTGACCTCGGCACCCTTTGCCCTGGAGGGAAAGGCCCCACTCTGAGGGCCGCCACCTGCCACCCCGCAGGACGCTGCACAGACCTGACATCTGAGAATGCGCCCAGCACACGTGCTGCCAGCAGATGTCTGGGGGAAGCCTTTGCCCTCCCGTAGGTTTGCATGAAAACAGCTTTCACCTTCTTCCCAGCCCGGAAGCAGCACTGGGGCAGCAGCACTGGGGCAGCAGCCCGGCCTCTGTGTGAGGCAGTGTCTCCCTCTGGCCCTGTCCTTCCCAGGCGGGCATGGAAGCCAGGCAAAGATGTAGAGGCAGGTCATGGTCGGTCCACATGGAACCAACACTGGTCAGTCCCTCACGGGCCCAGGATAAGGCAGCAGCTCTGCCGCTGGATGTGGGGGACATGTGGGGGCCCAACGGATCCTTCCCACTGGAAACCCGGCATAAGAATGCAGATGCGGGTCGCCATCCCAGTGCTGTTCTCAGAGGTGAAGCCACCATGAATGTGGCTGCTGGAAACTGTCCACAGCTCACGTCTGTCCATGGCAGGTCACATCCCAGGGGCCCGGAGACCCCACAGGCCAGGCTCCCTCCTGGGCTCTGAGGATGCCGCATGGGACAGAGGCCACCCACTGCCCAGCATGACAACGATCACACGACTCACACCGCCACAGCATCTACGCGCCAGAGTGGAGGGGAGAGTGCAGGGGGGATGCGGACGGAGGCTTGTGGGGGCAGCGTCTACGCACCACAGAGGATGGGAGAGTGCGGAGGGGAAGCGGACGGAGGCTCATGGGGAGCTTCCTCCAACCACTGGTGCAACTCGTCTGTATCTGAGATATTATGGTGAAGTCAAAAGCCTGTGAAGAAGCTGCCACAGCAGCACTGGATTGTAACCCGAAGCACAAAATAAACGCCTGCAAGTCCACACTGATGTGTGCCAATTACTGAACAAACAGATGGGCGTGCATGGAGGCAGCGTGGCCCTGGTGCCGGTGGTTCTCTGAAGGGGAGCAGACCTGGTCAAGTG